CTTCCGCGGCCCTCATTCCTCGTGATGATCGCCGACCCACCCACCTCGCAGAGAGCAATACGCCACCCATCGAAAAACTGACCATCCCCTAAAAGGAGGTAGCAGGAAGGGAGGGAAAGACAATGAAGACAGAGAAGACAATACCACCCACCCACCCATCTACATGTCGCATCCCAGAATCACTTAGGCGTAGTATAACGAGTAAATACAATTATAGCATTATTAAGCAAACAGATACTGCCTTAAAATTTAAACGAGAGTGAGATACTGTTCGTAACTCAATTGGAGCCACCCCACACGGCTGTACCACCGCCTTACCAATATCCTTACCAACATCAAAATTAATCATTGCAGCCCAAACCAGAAGACCAGGAAGCCAGATCTAATCAATCAGATCAGTCAGATCAAATCAAACCAAATTACGCCATCCATCCAGTTACATTAAACATTAGCCATCGGACAAATAGTAGTATAAGCCATCAGTAGTAACAACCATAATCATCGCATAATTTATTAATCAATTAAACCCTTATAGTTAATCGACAAGCAACATCAAGTAATTCGAGAGATTCGGGGAAATTCGAGAATTCATGATCAAACCATTGAGATAATCTCAAATAGCAGAACAGTGACAGTAAACAAACCCCCTCCAGCAGAACAGTCAAATCCAACTCGCAATCAGAATCAAACCATACGTGAAACGTAAAATGAAACTGAAAATTTGAAAGTAGGACCGAATGTAATAAGCTAAAACCGAATCGGCTGGGTCTAACATTCATGATCACGTAAAATAAGAGTGGGAATAGGACCAAAACCCATCAAAGACAAATCGAATTGGAATTTAAATCCATTATTAACCAGAATAAAACATGACTTAGTTAAATTTAATAAGATGAGGCCGCGGATAGATAAGAAACATAGAACAAATTGAAAGTCAGTCAGGTTAGAATCACAGTTCAACCCAATCCAATCCGATCCACGGCAAAGTAAAATCTAAGTCATATCCAACCAGATCCAACAGAGCCAGAAGAAAACTCTAACCAGACTGGGAATCAAGGCCATTACTAAACCAACCAGAATCTGGCGCGTCTAATTGAGATCCAGGTCACAATCGACACGCTCAGAACCGGAAGAAGATAAAATGGAAACCAAAAGAACATTATTGTTACCCGCCCATCATCCGAATGCCCGTAGTAGAGTCAACTGAATGAAGTCCTGACTGACCAGCACACGCCCATTTAATACCAGATGTAAGATATCCAATGGTGAGCAAATGATAGGCAAGCCAAAACACGGCCACCCTAGTTCAACCGTCGTTCACAGCTGTACAAGTGGCAAGGACAAGCAAGGACAAGCAATGGCAACCCATGACTCAGCAAGCGCCAGACAGGCACAGCACCCCTCCATACGCCCGCACAGGTGCCCGGTCATATGACAATTTGGGGAATATGGAGCATGCAACATACAGTGAACTTACAGAGCCATCTATGAAAACCCCCATCGTCCAGCCTCATCGGCACACAGCTACGAGATCCCATCACCAGGCGCAGGTGCCCGACCACCCTCGCCGTCAAGACGCAGCCCTGCAGGAAGGAGACGTGGCGCCATCTGGCGGAGATAACTTTAACCACCAAATCCTTCCATCAGGCGATGCCAGGTCGCCCATCACACCAATACGAGTCATGAACAAACACCGCATAACCAGACCGAATACAAGTTCGGAATAAGAATCAAATTAAGTAAATTAAATAATTTAAATAAAAATAAATAAAATAAATCAATAAGATAGATATAACAGGCAGTATTGAACCAAAATAAGGAAAGTAGCAGTTGAAGCTAGTGAATCAGACAAATGGTCCGTCACCCGCTTGGACCGGCCAATTCATAAATATATAAATAACATGCCGCGCAAAAACGAGATAAGATAAGGTAATACATAAATAGATGAGTAATACATGAATAAATAAGTAAGTAAGGAAGTAATGAGTAGTATAAGCAATTTCAGTCATAATACAACTATATCAATCAAATCCATTCAAATGATATCAAGTATGATTCAATCACCAAGCTGTCAAATCCAAACTGGCACCCTCAGAATGACAGCTCACCACAAAACCAATGATGCCAACATCAAACTGAGTCAATGGATAAGTATTGAGGTGAATCGATCAAAGTTACTATGTTACAATAGGACTCAGCCTACCATTTACCAACGGATCTGAATCCAAATCTACCGCAGAATTCATTTGCTCTCGCATTTGCCCGGTCTAACATAAAGGAAAAGGAAGGTATCATCTCATCAATCAAACAAATCATCCCCAACCACCCCCATCCCTGGTAAGAATCATCTGTCAGCACTTATGATCAGGAATATTAATATCCACCATTATCGGTTAACCGCTACCCTAAGGACATCACATCCCTACCATTAATATTACCTGATTTAATTCGCCCATGTGGACTAATAATTGGACTTGCAGGACACCTTACGCGTGAAGTACAATATATAGGGAGGAAAAGAAATGTACAAACAGTCGATGATAGCCGTAACAGTCACCACAGCTAAAAGGGGCAGCGGTGAACCAAGCAGTATGAGCATAATATCGCAAAACTCACCGACATGAAAAGAAAAGAAAAGGAAGTTTAAGAAAGAAAAGGTGAAGGTGATAAGCATAAACACGAAATGTATAATAAATGTGAAATGCAATTGTAAAGCGTAATGCGCAGGCAAGCGCGTCTAGTACAGTGCAAGTATAATGTAGGTATAACGCACCATAATAGTAGAAGCATAAGAATAAGAGCAGGGAACTAACACGGATTAATTCCATAGGAATTTCACAACAATTTCACAACAATTTGATCGTTGAGGTTGCCATTCTTATCACCACTACCGCAGAAAGTAATGCCTGCAACCCATAGATGAATCTGCCCACGCAAATGCAAGGAAACAAACTAATTGCCAATGAGATACCGAAATAAACAACAATAATTAAAATAAATAAATTGCCAATAAATCAATCAGGTCAATTATCAACCGTGCAATTCAACCGAATACCATACTACCACTAAATCTTATACAAACAATAATAAGTAAATGTAGTAGGCAATACATCAGCATATCCATAGTAATAACTGTTGCAAAATCACATACCACGTAGGCACTTGCATGAGCAAAACATCCATCGTGCGAAAGAAACAGCCGAAATACTACAGTTCAATCTGTAAACCGTCAATTGCAATTAAATAATTAAATAAGTGAGCTGTGGGTTGCGAGTAGGCAGTGAATGTGTAGCAGACTAAATCTATCGAGGATAAAACAATGAAAATAGAGCACACAACTTCTTAGTGACATATGGTAATCGGACCATGCAAAACTCCGTCGCATTGAGCAGTTGACTGCGTAATTAACTATTCGACCAATTAACTAATGCGAATCGAACTCAACCGACTGGGTACAATGTTGTTAAAGAAAAAGAAAAGAAGAGCAGAGCACGAAAGCACGAGAGCATCTTCAGATTTTAGATTATAAATTATCCGTTGGAATATTCTGAACAATCTGAATACAGGACAATAAATTATCGGCTCCCTCATCCCGCTGCCATCCACACTGAACAACCCCAATTAACAGCAAATTGAGGAAGCAAATTAAGCATATGTAGGTAAAGGTAAAATAAGATGCAAATCTGTATATAAATTAAGTATGTCCATAATGAAATAGAAATAAAATAAAATAAGATAATCGTATCAAGATCAAAAGGTATCAACGCATATAACAACACCAGCAGTCCCATGTCACTATGCAACAGAAATCGCAGCCGGCCAGACCCGTCAACACGTCACAAGTCGCCACGAGTCAACAGGATCAACAGGATTAGCGGACAAATTAATCAATTTCACACGTCAATTAATAATTCAATCCCATTTAATCGACAAAATCAAATCGTTCCACACAATTCTCCTCCTTATTACAACCAAACCCCCGGCACGCGTACGTGGAGAAATAAACAAACGTCCACGAGGATTACAAGCAAGATAGAAAACCGAGTCAGGTTTAACAAGCAGCGACACGCGGCGCAGCGGCGAGCCAGCGAACTAGTACCAGTAACCATATACTACAAATCCGCCATCTTAGCATTCAAACTTCGAAACTTCAAATTAAAACTCAACTTAAAACTCAAACATGTACCCCACCTCCCAGACTCGGCAGCATATCAGTTATTGAATAACGAAATAAGATTAAGTAACGCGCATGGCGCCTTACACTTACCGGAGAGAGTGCCCATACCTGCTCGCAACATATTATGATTCAATGCATTCTCCCTGGCATGCTACCAAAAAACAATCAGCCGTTCTCCTTAGAAAGATTACAAGTCACCCAACTGGAGCCCTAAGGCGGCACCCAAATTGACACCCAAAATTAAAGCGCCAATAGAATAAGTAATAATGGGCAGGTGGAAGAATGTAGTCTAAACAATCTAAGACAATGCAAGGCATACGATTAACTAAATCAAGTTCAAGATATTGATCAAGAATTTGATCAATCAGTTCAGAACTCCGAGCTACCATACTGTCACAACAGTATTAACATATTAAGCGAATGAAAGAAAGAAATAGCACTAGACATTATACAGCAATATATGAATGCAGCTCTAAGATTTCCGGACTGAGATGAACATCACAACCCATCAGCAGTTATATCCTTTAGCAGCATGAGACCGGCACCTTACAACAACAAGAACAGCCAAAAGTGAGCACCTTAAAATAAAGCAAAATAAAGCAACGGGAGAGTATGCAAGCAGCTAATGTATAAAATCTTTCTCAACAAAAAAAAAACCGACTTCGAAATGCACTAAAAAGTGTAAAATAATTTCTATATCATTTATACCAGTATTTCACAGCTATTCATAAATTCTACTTCATCATTAAATAGGATACTAAATACATTTCAACCTTTTCGGAGGCGGCGCAAAATGCAAAACTTTTCCTCTACTAGGAAGATCCTAGTTCAGGCGACGGTAACCTGTAACAAATGACCCATTTTATAATTTGAAGTAAACAATATTGAACGGGAATCAACATACCCATTGCGGATTAAGTATAGTGCAGTTCACGAGAAACCATACTTAACTCACGCAGGTTACTAGGTCTAGGGACATGTTTAATAACGCGTGTGATTCCCCTGTACAGCTTGCTTTTTCTGTACGATGATATAATTGTTTCTTTGAAACAAAAATAATAGGAATTTCATTGTATCGTGTATCTGTACCATATCATCATCGGTTATCAGTTGTCGTACGTCATATATTTCTGTCCACTATTTATTTGACTGGATAGTAAGAAGCAAGGTGTAGAAGATAATCACACACGTTATTAAAAATCTCCCTAGACCTATTGAGCGAGTGAAGTGTGGTCTGTCGTGAATAGCAGTACATACATCAGAAGTGGTACCAACTTCTGATACAATCGTTGTAATTACAAATGTTTTGTGCCGTGTCTATAACGTTTGGAATTGTATTTCTTACGACTGATGAATTACCAACTTTGCCATACCGCAATGGAATCGTTATTAGCAGGATCGTATATTCTGGTATTTATAATTTTGCGCCGCCTCCGAAAAGGTTGAAATGTATTTAGTATCCTATTTAATGATGAAGTAGAATTTATGAATAGCTGTGAAATACTGGTATAAATGATATAGAAATTATTTTACACTTTTTAGTGCATTTCGAAGACGGTTTTTTTTTTTGTTGAAAAAGATTTTATTTCACTGTTTTTAGTGGTACGTTTAGTATTTGTAGGATGTCGTAAGGAAATAAAAGAAAACAATCTAAAATATATTTTTATTTGTTTTTATTTGTGAAATATTTGATAATGAGAGAAGTAAAAAAAAAAATTAGAATATAAAAATGCAAATGAGAATGATGATAAAAAAAATTAAAATGGTGATAAAATAAAATAAAGAAATTAAAAAGAATGAGAAATAAGAAATGAAATAAAAATAAAAAAAGAAAGTATAATAAATAAATAAGGAATTAAATGTGAAATAAACTATAGAAAGAGAAATTTAAAATAAACTAAAATAATATTTGTTGATGGCGCCGCCCCTTCCGCCACCCATTCCGGCACCTCTGCCGCCACCCCTCCCGCCCCGCGGCCATCTCCCGCGATTTTGGCGGCGTGTAACGCCAGCAGCCGTTCCTCTCTCTGTAACGTAAAATTGTACATGTTAATATAGGTCATCCATTTTAGAATAATTTTTTATATTACTTGAGACGGAAATGTGTTAATAACTTTTTCGCTTATATCTGCGAAACTCACTTCGCCGCGGCTTCACATCCGCCTCAGTTTCGTCCGGGTGCTGCGGCGGTTGCTGGTGCTGCGGTTGTTGTTGCGGCGTTTGTTGCTGCTGCGGCGGTTGTTGCTGCTGCAGCATTTGCTGTTGCTGCAGCTGTTGCTGTAGCGCCGCAACCTCCCTATCCCTCTCCTGCTGCCGCGTCTGCATGTGCTGCAGCTGTTGCTGCAGCTGCAGCAATGCGTTCATAATTTCGTTTTCTGAAACAAAAAGGAGGTATGTAACATGCATGTTTTTGAATCATGCAGTATATTACTTTTTCACTGAAGTTGGAATTATACTTACGTTCATTTGTTTCGACGTTCATGTCGGTCATATTTCTGTGAGAAAAAAAGAATGTTTTTTTTGAATAAAAAGAAAATAACCCGTTGGCATTTGTGGATGAAGTTCGTAAAAGTAATCACCACCTATTTCTTTAAAATTCAGTAATCTTACGTCTTTTATACGCTGATTACGAATATCGTAGACAATGCTATCGAACAGTGTTTACGAGCTGTGAACGGTTATATGTAATTTTTGAATATATGATATTGAATGAATATGATAGTGAAATTTGGCGACAACTTGATTTTCATTGTAAATAAAAAAAAATCAAATTTGTTTACGTTAATGTCACTGAATACAAGTGCTTCTCAGAAACGGAAGCAGTACTGCCGCAAAACAGCAAATCCTAATATCCTGAAGTAATTGACTAAACGTATGTACGTTTATCTTGTTGCGTCGCCGCCACAATAATTTGTAACTAATAATGTTGTTGAAAGAATTTCTTATTTTTCGCGTAAGCGGTGCCGGCCGCGTTAGGATGGCCCAATAGTCGCCAATTTTTCGCTATGATATTCGTAATCAGTGTATCAACGAACGTAAGAATCTTTTTATTGTTTAAATCCAAAAAATGGGGGCTGAGTGGTTTTCCGAACTACACCCAACGAAACCACGAACCATTAACGATGAAATTAATATATGTTATATGTATAATATATATTATATAAAGAAATGAAATATTGCTTGTTATTTGGTACTTACGTCTGAACAGCAGCTCGTTCGGATTGAAAATGAACAAAATCTGTGTCTTCTAAAGGAAAACAGTTGATGGGGCACATTCCATGATCACATACACAAACAATTTTCGCTGTTGCGTCGTATAGATGCACAAATATCATCTAGTTCCTACATTATTAGAAGTTTGGCGTCTGCTTCGAACGTAAAGAACGATAGCGATTGAATCAGAGGACGGAGCGAAAACAATCGACTGTATATCTGTAGAACAATACTAATGCAACGATGCAAGTTTTTTATTTATAATTTTTTGGGTTTAAAAGTGTTATGAACAGCTTTGTGATAATTTTCTGATGAAAATAAGACCAAACTGGAAGTAAATCGGACTAGTTTTTGTATTAATCAGTTTCAATTGATGAGGTGAATCATTACTAGCCAATGAAAGTAAAATTAAACCGATTTATGTCGTGTTGGTACTCATTTTAATCGGAATAATCTGAAGAATTCATTGATACTATTCTTTGGAAGATAAGACAAAAATTATTGAAAATGTAATGTTCTTTACTGGTTGGTGATTTGTTTTACTCGCGGCATCCCTTTGGAATGCATCTATCTCGTTTTCCCGCGTAATACGTATTTTCTTTCCTTTTTTATGACGGATCCGAACCTCTGCTGGGTTCCAGGAAATTGGCAGTAGGGCAATGTCACGCAATTTTATCGGCCAGCGTAGGAGAGATGAGGGATCCGTTGCACACATCGCCGCTTTCTTAATTTTTTACACGAGCCAAGTCAGTAGATGTAGGTGTTTCGACCAATAATATATTACGGCTGCAAGTCGTGTGGGCAAAGGCGGGGCACGAGCAATCCTACCCAAATTTTTTGCGACGGCCAAGTTACGAACGGCGAACAGCAGTCAGTTTCAATTAATACCTTGCAACGGTGCTTTGCATTGAATTTTTTATCAATATATTCTGTTGTAAGGTAAATTGTAACAACTATTTTTTTTTTTGTTTTTTTTTTACATTTATTTTGTAATAATTTATAAATAAAGAAGAGGGTCCAATTTTGCTTTCAGTAAGTAATTGTATTTGAAAACAAACAGACCAAGTCTGCTTGAAGCGACTTATTTATATAAAAGAAGTGTGCTTGAAGCGACTAATTGTTAAAAGAAGTCTGCTATAAGGGAGCATAAAAGAAGTCTGCTTTAAGCGACTGATTGTTAAAACAAGTCTGCTAGAAGCGACTGATTGATAAAATAAGTCAGCTTGAAGCGACTTATTTATAAAAGAAGTCTGCTTTAAGCGACTGATTGTTAAAACAAGTCTGCTTTAAGCGACTGATTGTTAAAAGAAGTCTGCTTTAAGCGATTGATTGATAAAACAAGTCTGCTTCAAGCGACTTATTTATAAAACAAGTCTGCTTTAAGCGACTGATCGATGAAACAAGTCCGCTGTACGCGACTGATTGATAAAACAGGTCTGCTTTAAGCGAGTAATTGTGAAAATAAAAAAAGCGCAGCAAATCCTTTCTTTCAATCCTTCATCTTCACTGAAACCAGGTAGGTGTGCTATATGAAAGTATGGGTAGACGTACAAAAAGTGCATCCCGTATGAGACAGAGTCGTGCTAATGAATCAGATGATGCCAAACAATTACGTCTTTCAAAAAAACGTCAAAGAATCGCAGAGGCACGGCGTCAAGAAAGTATTGATGAACGCCGTGCAAGATTGTCTGCACAGCGGAAATATGCTGTTTCGAAATTATCGCGCGAAACGGTCGATGAAAAAAAATGTCGGCTAAGCATAATTTCTCATCGTTTAAAGAACGAATCTGCCGAGCAACGGTCATGTCGTATCGAATTAATCCGTTTAGCGAACGAATCTGCCGAGGCACGATCACGCCGATTCCGATTAATCCGCAGACGTTTAGCGAACGAATCTGCGGAGGAACGATCACGGCGTTTCCGATTAATCCGCAGACGTTTAGCGAACGAATCTGCCGAGGCACGATCACGCCGATTCCGATTAATCCGTAGGCGTTTAGCGAACGAATCTGCCGAGGAACGATCACGCCGTTTCCGATTAATCCACAGACGTTTAGCGAACGAATCTGCCGAGGCACGATCACGCCGATTCCGATTAATCCGTAGGCGTTTAGCGAACGAATCTACTGAGGAACGTTCGCAACGTCTAATGGTTATGAGAAATCGTACGCGAGAAGTACTACTAAGTGAACGTACCGAATCACGAAATACGCGTTTAAGGAATATGCGTGAACTAGCGAAAAATCGAAGAAAAGAACTTCTCCTTCAGGTAGACAACTTTAAATCGACTATTAATATTTTTGCTGATGTACCATGTGCAGTGTGTTACAAGACTTTATATCCGCAGCAACGTTACGCTTTGCACACGCAGCCTTTGTGTGGTCTAATTCCTGCAAATTTAATACAATCGGAGAAGATGACAACATGTTCTCGTTGCCTACATCATCTTAAAAAATACAAAGTTCCATCTCAGGCATTCTGGAATAAAATGGAACTAATGTCTGTACCTCAGGAGATAGCAGATTTATCAGAAATCAAGAAACAAATGTTGTGCCGAATAGTACCGTTTCTTAAAATCATGAAAATTCAAAATCGCTTCAGTCAGGATTGGTGCAAAGGTCAGGTAGTCCTATTTGCCCGCGATGTGTTCGAAGTAGCCGAGCAACTTCCACTTAGATTAAACGAAACCGGTATAATGATTGTAGTGGAAAGCCTCGAAAATTTTGAGCGACAAAGACAATTTGAAATAGACGTTGGCAAACTTCGAGTAGCTTTACAATGGCTATTACAAAATAATGCTTTGTACAAAGATGTGCGACCATGTTTTTCTAATATTAGCAATAACATTTTGGAAATAGCTGATGTCGTTGAAGAGCCTTGTATTGTAAGAAACGAAACGGAAGTTGCAGAAAGAAATTCTGAATCAAACAGTAGATTTGTGAATGTTGGACAGAATGTAGGTATTTTACGAGGCTCGTGCCATCAAGCTAGCGATCGCTTCAGTATTGAATCTCGCGGTAAGCAATGTACTGGCATAGCTGCAGTTGCTTGTGTTGCATTTCATTTGCTCGACCCTAGTACGTGGTGTACTAGTGATGTCGATTATATACTTTTAGTTGGAGATAAATATTACCGTGATTGCATTGAAGCGCGAAGTAATCCTGACCCCAGAGAAGTCAATGTAGACTATTTAGCTGTTACCGAATTATTGCCACACATATCAGTTAATAACAACAGAGTCAATATTAACATTGGCTATGAAATGGCTGTAAATGGTCATATTGATATTGATAACGGCGATGAAGGATTTCCAAATTTAAAGAATGCTTTGATTACGTTTTTCCAACAGTATACGTACGGAATTCTTACTGCCAATTTTACATCAGTAGCTGTATCATGCGGTAACCAGTCGGAGACTACCTACTATTGGTTGTTTGATTCCCATGTAAGAGGTCCAAAAGGATATAAAGCATCGTCACGGGGCGTCTCATGCTGTATGAAATGTACTAATATTGATGATTTACACATCATCTTGCGTCGTAATTTATATGCTAAAGGAGGCAATAGCAATGTGGTAAATATCTATTCACTAACACCTCTAACAATAGCACCCGAAAGGAATAGATCTGCTGAAATAGAAAGGATACAACAACCATCTGTTGCGACCGCTCGTAGAGAATCCGGCGCAACAGAAATTATTTTCGCCACAAGCATGTTACGTTCGCCTGACGAAGATGTTCCCAACATCGACAGTATCGTCTCTGTCAGTAATAATAATAATAACGCAGAAAATGACCCGATAAACCTTGCGAATATACATAGAAAAACAGTGCCTCCTTTGAACCTAGAAAGGGAGAGAAGGATGGAGGAACTGTGTTGGTTCTTCCTGTTTCCGGATGGTAAAAATGGATTCGGAGAGCATCGAGACATCTCAATTACACCACTGGATTACTTCCAAGCGCGTATTCTGAGCAATGACAAACGATTCCAACGAACAGATTATTTGTTCTTCGCATTATCTGTTGTTGAATACTACCGCGCAAAAGCTAGCGTTTCAGTATCATGTAGAATGCGCCAAGGGGAACATACTCCACAGGGATTAGTAGATAATATGCACCTCACGATGAGAAACATAAGAGGATCGGCATCATACTGGAAACGGTGCTGTTCTGAATTAATCGCCATGGTCCGAAGTCTTGGACCGCCCACATGGTTTGCTACGTTCTCTTGCAATGATCTGAACTGGCCAGATATGTTGAAAGCATTACTACTATCCGA